CTGAAATGAGGGTTTCTGTGAAGCGTGAAGGGTGTTTATACGGGTTTGTTGGACTTACGCAGGGTTCAGATTCGGGGAAAGTTTCTCAACAAGCTGCTTGAAAAGAATGTTTCGATTTCCTGGCTGGCCTTGAGGGTTGAGGGTTTTTGGTTTCAGGGATAAGGCCATGCGCAGCCAGCAGCAGTAAGAGAATCGGCTGGTTGGGAGTGCTGTGGACTAGGGCCTAGGGAGACTGTAAGGTTCAGTGCAGTTTAGGAATTTCTATCCCCACCGGGTGGTGAGCGATATCCTGAAGAGTATTCAAGGAGCGAGAGGTAATGTAGGGCCAATGTAGGGCCGGGCTATGAGCCCTGAGTTTTCCCTAAACCCGAAGCCCTAAACCCTAAACCCAAAAACCCGGCAAGAACCCCCAACATCTAGAAAGCCCGGCTGCTGGATGCTTGCTTGCCAGGTTGATGACCACCGCCAGTATCAGAAAGATCGTCGAAGGCCATTCCCACATGGGCGACCCTAAACCCTAAACCCTAAACCCTAAACCCTAAACCCTAAACCCTAAACCCTAAACCCTAAACCCTAAACCCTAAACCCTAAACCCTAAACCCTAAACCCTAAACCCTAAACCCTAAACCCAGAGCATGGGCCCCGGAAAGTATCATAGGTGAGCCGACCCTGGGCTTGCTAGACGGCTAAGAGGGAAGAATCTTGGGGTTTTAGGGTTGAAGGGCTGCTGAGCAGTCTAGGCTGCCCAGTAACCTACTCTTAAAAGGGGTGCCCCTTTGTTTCTTAAAGGGGTTTACAAGGGAACCTACACCCCCCAAAAAGGGAATAATTGAATAAGGGTACTACTGGGCATCCGAGCAGTTCATATGAAGTGAGATGTTTCATTGCTAGCCCCATCCCACATAAACACTCTCATGAATTTCCCGAAGGAGCCCTATATGCACTTACCAAAACCTGAATGTGAGCCCTATTTTGGAATCTCATGGATAGTTCCAAGTAGCGGAATAAGCACGCTATAAGCTAGATTCTGACTACACAGATATCATATTCACAAGCCTACTTGCAAGTACCTCCAAGTACGTCCATATCATAAGGGTGTAGTCAAAGCCTTCTTGGACTTAGGGGGAATTCCTTTGAGTGAATGACCTTAAGCCCTAAGCCCTAAACGTTTAAGCCTAAATTCCTGCTGCTTTCTCGAAGATGGCTGCAGGATGATCCGACCGGAAGGCCGGCACAGAGGGTTTGGGGGTTTAGGGTTTAGGGTTTAGGGAAGTGGGCATGGGCTGGCAGCGAAGCTCTCGGCGTCTGCCAAGGTTGAGGATCAAAGCCTACTTGGAGGTTCAGGGTACTTATAACCCAATTATAGGTGTAGCTACCCATTTATAAGACCCTTAAATACCCTAAAAGGGTTCTCACTGGGTCACAAGTACAGTTATAATTGGGTTACTAAGTACATCGGGGGCGTGAAAAAGGGGTTCTAGGCTTGGGACTTGCAGGGCTGGGGCTTTAAGCTTACAGGTTTTGGCTCTCAGCTCCATTTTTGACCGCTCGTCGGCTTTGCCTTATGCTGGGTGCTGTGCTCTCTGCACTTGCGACAAGATTCCGCCCTACTCATACAAGTGGGCGCCTGGACGCGCAAGCGACATGCACTCAAAATCGATGGGCGTACGCGAGGTGCGCTTGATTCCTTCCGCCCGGGTGAGCAGCCAAGGACGCAGCCCCTGGCACCTTAAACGTGTCGTGCTATGTTGTGTCGCAGCAAAAGAATGCACCTACAGTACATCTATTCTGTCTACGGTAGAGCGAAAGCAAATCATGTGATGTATCCACTCTGTATCTTGAGACCACCGTGTTAGCTGTCAATCAGGCTTCACCCAGGTTCTCCGTCAGATCATCCCGCTCCTTTTGGGTTGTTTCGGGTTTAACGGTTTAAGGTTTAGGATTTAGGGTTTAGGGTTTCAGGTTTAGGGTTTGGGGGTTCAGGCTCTGTGGCTTGGCATTTCGTTCGAAGAGGGGGACGATCCGCATGCAGCAGGCGTCGAGGGAACGGCTGGCATCTACAGGACACCGGCATCCTCCTGTCATGGCTGGATATGCCTCAATAAGGGGCTTTGAAAAATGTGGGAACTGTGCAAACATGCTGCTCAATTGAAATTCCAAGGGGCCCCGCTCTGTGGCGGGCGCCGCTGTTTTGCTTCATATTGGCGGCTCAAATACGTGGGCGCACAGCACATTTATCTAGATGAAGGGGGAGACCTTGCGGACGACGCCCCGGCCCTGGCTGTAGTGGTAGAGCGTGGTGTAGCCCAGGTGGAAGGGCAGCCAGGCGTACTGCAGCGCCTTGCCGAGGATCTTGTGGGCGTCGATGGACTGCTTGGCCAGGCGGTCGTTTCGGCGGTCGTCCTCTGCGTTGCCGGTCTTGTCGGAGCCGGGCGCCCACTTGAGGAAGTACTCGCTGGCGATGCCTGACACGGGCAGCAGCAGGGCGAAGGCGTAGAAGGCCCGGAGGCTCTGCGTCTCGATCATCTGCACCAGGGCGTTGCCGGGGAAGCGCGGCGGGATGCCGCTCTGCATGCGGAAGATCACGCGGAAGACGAGGGCCACCAGCATCAGGATGCCGGTCTGCTTGTGCCACCAGAGCATCTGCTTCTTGGCCTGGCCCTCCGAGTAGGAGGCGGCCTGCGCGGTGCCCACGGCGCCGAAGATGCCGACGGCCATGATGAGGTGCAGGTGCCTCAGGGCGCGGCTGTAGGTGAACTGGGACAGCGGCTTTCGGTTCTGGAAGGTCTTGTACAGGTACCAGGCCAGCCCAGCAGTCGCAAAGTCCGCGACTTTGTACCTGAGGTACCGGGCAAGCTCGGAGGTCTCCTCGCCGACCACCTGCTGCACCACGGCGCTCTCGGACCAGTCCGTGTTCTCTGCCGGCACCAGCTGGCCCACAAGCATGTCGCGGTCCCTCTGCACGCGGGCCTTCTCGGAGTGCTCGAACACCTCGAAGTCCTTGGTGCAGTCCGTGCCCGCCTTGGACATCAGGATGTCGTCACCTCCCGGGTGGCTGCCCAGCAAAGGCTTCAGGTTGTAGACCCGGTTGTGGATGATCATGTAAGGCTCCTCCGCCGTGTTGTGCTTCGCCACCTCTGCGCGGGAGAAGAAGGGCAGGTCCTTGCCTGCGGAGATCTCCGCCAGCTTCGGGAACCGGCTCTCCTCCGACAGCGTAGGTGCGTCCGTCTTGCCCGGCACCTTCACCGCCGTCTTCGCCGCCTCGATGTCCTCCTTGGACGGGCCCTCCAGGCGCCGCAGCTCGTCGTGCAGCTCCCTGAGCTCGCGGATGATGGCGTCCACCGGTGCCTCGGGTCCCACCTTGCCCGTGGAGAACTCGGGGCGCATGTAGAACTCCATCCACTGCTTGCTGGGGAACCGGCCCGGGATCTTATTGAACATGGGCGTCGCATCGCGGCCGGCCCAGGCCAAGATGGAGTTGCGCTGCTCGGGGTGGTGCTGCAGGAAGTCGGTGAGGTCGTAGACCTCGCCGCTGATGGCGATCCAGCAGTCGTGCGGCTTGTTGTGTCGCGCCACCTCCGACAGGGGGATGTCGCTGCTCGAGAAGCCCAGCGGCACGTCGTGCTGGTCCGCGTGGTCCTGCGGACCAGTACGCAACAGCTAATATCAGTTCGCCCGTCACAACGTACGTTTGAGGGCTGAACGGTACAATGTACAGAGATATATATATATATATATATCACATTTGTATTCTAGGGTCTACAGGCGTCCCTTCATAATTTCTAATGAGGCTTGATGTTGGGATCTTCGTCCCTGAGCCTTGGAGCTGTCAACCTCCAAGAAACTGTAAAAGAGGCTTCACTTGAAGAAGACGACCACTTGCTGACCCTCAACCCTAAACCCTATAAACCCTAAACCCTCAAGGCACGGCTTGCAAGCTCGAGGCAGAGTCCTGATGCGACAGGAGCGCCTCCTCTGCCTGAGCCCCAAAAGACCCACCCAGGACAGGTCTAGGGTCGAGGGTCTAGATGGTCTAGGGTTTAGGATTGATTTCTTGGCTTTTGGGTTTAGAGAGTTCAGGGTTTAGGTTTTAATTAGGTTTTGAGTGGCAGGGTTCAGGGGTTTATACGGTTAGTACTTCAAATGGGGGGGGGGGGGGGGGGTATCTGTGTAGACACACATACAAATATATATATATATATATATATATATATATATATGATATATACTATATATATATATATATACGCACTATATATATATATATACGCATACATATACATATGTATAACCTTACACGGCCTACACTAAATCGATATGTATGCCCTATCCATCTATATATGCATTATGTACATATATATATATATATATGTGTATGTATATGTATATGTGGGTGTGTGTGTGTGTGTGTCTGTCTAGATGGGACGACCCCAAAGCGCATGGCACCAATCTAGGACAGGCATCACAGCGGAGTCCACGGTAAGTCTTGGTTCTATGCAGCAAAACACATCCTAAGCGGAGCCCAAGCGGGATAATTCAAAGAGCACATGGCGTAAGGGAGGTCAGGTTCGACACTTGGCTGGGTCACTGGCCCTCTTCACTTCGGCCGCTTTGGCGAAGTCCTGGCAGGAGGGCACGTGGATCTTTTCTTTTGGGCTCTGGATGGGCTTAGGGATTGGTGCTGCGAAAAGCGTGGCGCTGAATTCGACATCTTATCACATCCGGGTGAAGGTTATCGTATAATGGCAATGTCTAGTCTCTCAGGTTGCGCAGGATGTGGACAAGCTTTGGGTTTTCCAAGGTTGTCAAACTGTTCCGAAGACTTTGTCTTTGCTAGGGCTTCTGGGAGTTTCAGTATAGGGCTGAACCCGCGCAACTTGAGCAGCTTTCTCTTTGATTCCAAACGCCCTTCACCCCAAGCCCCCCATTCCAAGGGGACTCCCGAAACCCTAAACCCTACACCCTAAACCCTAAACCCTAAACCCTAAACCCTAAACCCTAAACCCTAAACCCTATAAACCCTAAACCCTAAACCCTAAACCCTAAACCCTAAACCCTACAGTGAACCCTAAACCCCTGCAACACCTCAGCGTCCAGCGCCGCGCGCTTCTGCGTCTCAAGGCGCTGCAGCTTGGCTTTGAGCAGCGGGTCGATGTTCCTTGCTTGGAGGTTCGTGGATACTTATAGGTTTAGGGGGTTTAGGGTTCAGGGTTTAGGGCTGGGATGTTCCAACTTATTCTAACAGTCCTTAGTAGGGCTTCTACCTATTCTGGACTTTTAGTAGAAGGGGAACATCCCAAAAAGTAGGGTTATAAGCAGCCTAAACAGTTAGAAGTATAGCTACCAGACTTATAACCCTCCAAGTGGGGGTCTGGGCGTTCGCGGGGCCGCAAGGACATAAACCTTAAATGCCAGGGTTTAGGGTTTAGGGTTTAGGGTTTAGGGTTTAGGGTTTAGGGTTTAGGGTTTGTTTAGGGTTTGTTTAGGGTTTAGGGTTCCCTAAACCCTAACCCATGCCTCTCTTACGGAGCCAGGGCTCTTGTCCTGGAGGAGCTTTGGAATGCTGTCCGCCTTCCGACAAATGGTCGCTCTCTAGATTAGGAATCCTAATCACTACCAACCCTAAAACGGAAGTTCAAGGGTGCTGCACTAGATAGGGGCCCCAAAAAGGAACCCTCATTTAGAGAATTATCCACATGGTCCGTTCTCCAAATTGTGGCTTTGAACACATCCAACACTGACATGTTTCAGGAACACTCGGACAAGTAATTGCAGCCGCAATGCGACGGAGGCCTTCGGGTCAACTCACCCTCCAGCAGAACTCCCTTCGCCCCAATGTCGAAACCCTCCCCGGCTGCTACAAATAGCAAGATTACTCTTCACCCTAAACCCTAAACCCTATAAACCCCAAACCCTAAACCCTAAACCCTGAACCCTAAACCCTGAACCCTAACTAAACCTGCCTTGTGGGTCTCGGTGCACTGGTTCAGCAGGCGGTCGACCTCCTGCCGAATCTCCACGATTCGGGCCTGACGATCATGCTTTGTGGCAATAGCAGCCACCGGCAACGGCTCCAACCACTCGGCTACTTGGAGCTTCGCAGGTATATACCCACAAGTAGGGATATATTATATGAATACCCTAAATAAGGTTATATATATATATATGTATAGCCTCCATGCTTATGAGCCTACACTTGCAACTACCCATGAACCCGCAAGCAGGAGCTTCAAAACGCAACGGGATTGGCGATCCGCAGGCCTCGCGCAGCGTGTGCCAGAACTCGTCGGACATGAGGTTCTCGTCGACGCCCAGGTCGCCCAGGAAGGCCTCGGGCCGCAAGTAGGCGTCGATCCTCGGTGGAAACACGCACGAAGATGCAGAAACTCCCAGCCAAAACCCCAACGACTGCATGACGTTGCTTGCATTCTGGTGCATTTCGTCTCCAAGCGTCTTGACGCCCTTGTGGATGTCATTGAAGAACTTCGAGGCGTCCTTCCCCGCCCAGGCGAGGATGGTCGTGGGGCCGCCGGGATGCCGGTCCATGAACTCCGACAGGTCGTAGACCTGCCGAAGCCCAGAGCGGCTCTCAGCGTGCTGCGCAAGGTCTCATGACCGCTGTGCTATTCTAAACTCACATCCTGAACTCTATAAATACCTGCCGTGTCTGTGTTCTACGCCTTGAGAAATCGGGATCCTCCCTGCTCAGACAAACGAACGGGCCGCCTTGCCATTCAGCGCCACCCAGCAGTTCTCCGGCGTGCAGTGGCGATTCACCTGACATGCGCCAGTGATCGCAGCTAGTCAACATGTTTGCGAGCTTGGGGCTTCCGATCGGGGATTAGAGTTCCGGAAACCCTAAACCCTAAACCCTAAACCCTAAACCCTAAACCCTAAACCCTTTAAGAGCATGGAGGCTTCCGGGTTTATATGGGGCTTAGTGGGTTTATATGTAGGCTTTCTAGGGCTTTTACGGTTCTATACTGAACTTGCAAACCTACCACAAATTGCAACTCTTAGCTCTTTCTTGAAAATATGGCACCAAAAAACTAAAAGTCATCCCCAAGTATCCCCAAGTGAACCGGTTGACGGTTTGAGGCATACACCCCTGATACACCCTTTACAACCCAAGGTCTTATACTTCCCTAAAACCCTTTAAAGCAGGTAAGGGACCATATTAAGGGCCCACGAACTACCCCTAAACCCTAAACCATCCTAAACCCTAAACCATCCTCAACCCTAAACCCTAACCCCTAAAACCTTGGACCCTAAACCCTAAACCCCTAACATACCAGGCTTTCTAGGGCTTAAACGGTTGAGGGCTTATAGGGCATCAGAACCCCTTGGGGCAGCCTCCGAGAGCTTGTGGCCACCCAGATATTGATACTAGAAGACCCCCCGAAACCCTATTCTACTTCTTAAGGTTTCGATGTTAAAACCGTAAAATAATCCTAAACCCCAAAAGCCCTATTCTACTTATTAAGGTTTCGATGTTAAACCGCAAAGGTCCTAAACGCCAACACACAATCTACGCCTCCGAGAGCGGGATGTTCTTGGAGATCGCAGAAGTGCCCGGCTCGTGGAGCACTCGCTGCTTGCTTTCGGGGACCTTGCCCAACCCTAAACCCCAAACCAAGGTTAAACCCTACAATAAACCCTAAACCCTATCCCTAAACCCTATACCTTAAACCCTAAACACCTTTTTTGGGGTGGGGGAAAGGGGGGGGGGGGGGGCGGGGTGCATGCTCATAAAGCAACCTACTCGGGAGCCCACAACAAACATTGCTTCTCAACCAAAAAGCAGAGAGACCCAGGCGCACCATTTAGGGCTCAGGGTCTCGCTACTAGCAGTCCTTAATAGGGATTCTCCATGATCCCTGGTAAGGACTGCTAGTGATACGGGGAAAACCCCAAGTCCCAACCCTAAACCCTGTGCAGCCTCTAAACCCTTGAACTGCCTCGTCTGAACTCCCCAGATGGGGCCCGAAACAGTGGGGGAGGTTCAGGGTCTGGCAGCTGTTTCGGGGGTTTACCTGAAGAACCCTAAACCCTTTGAGTTCTGAGAAAGGGCTCTTCGATCTTAGGGTTTCATTTATATCACATGTATACATACACATACACATACACATACACATACACATATGCATATGCATATGCATATGCATATACATACACACACACACACGTATGTGTGTGTAAGTTTAACATAATTCAACAACAAATCAACAATGACTACAAACATAAATAAACATAAATGAATAAAAAGTAAATAAATAAATACAATTTTCTATATATATATATATGTATATATATGTACATTTCAACACAAACAGTAAACATAAGTCCATGTTTAAGCAGAAGGCTGTGCGTTGTCATGATCAAGAGTTTCAGCCCTGCTCTTGGAAATCCAGAGGACGCTTGAGGGATGCTCGTCTTGGCCGATGGCAGCCATGATCTCTCCTTGGCTGCTGGGGGTTTAGGGTCTAGGGTGGGTTTAGGGTTTAGGGTTTAGGGTTTAGAGTCTAGGGTTTTAGGGTTTTTGGGTTTTAGGGTTTAGGGTTTAGGGTTGAGGGTTTAGGGCTTCGGGGTTTAGGGTATCGGGTTTAGAGTCTGAGGCTTTTAAGGGTCGTGTAAAGCAGTTTGCTAGGAGAACTACAGGTTAACCTTTGGGATTTACTACAATTACAACTAAGTTCACGGTTTAGGGCTTAAGGCTTATACGGGTCATTTGAAGTAGGGTTTGTAAGTCTCCAAGAGATACGGAACAACATCTAGTTGTCGATCACCCGAAACCCTAAGCCCCAAGCCCTGTCCTAAATAAGCCCTAAGCCTAACACCTAAACCATAAACGACTTTGGGTAGCCAAGGTTTGGGAGACAAGGGTCCGTAGTACATGCACACCCAGAGCCGACACCTTACACCTTCAACTCTAAACCCTCAACCCAAACCCTAAACCCTAAACCCTAAACCCTAAACCCTAAACCCTAAACCCTAAACCCTAAACCCTAAACCCTAAACCCTAAACCCTAAACCCTAAACCCTAAACCCTAAACCCGACTGCAGCTTCATTCGCGTGTGCGAATGCCGAGGCTCAGCAAGGAAGGAATCCGTGGCACGGACAGGAGCTACGATAGGGCACGCAAATGCTTCGGCCCGCCACGACGCTGGGGGTTGAGGGTTCTGGGGGTTGAGGGTTGAGGGTTTTGGGCTTATGGAGGTTTAGGGCCCGGTTTGGGCTTTGTGGGGGTTTACGGGTGTAGGGGTTTAGGGGTTTAGGGATTTAAGGGTTTAGGGGTTTAGGACGATAATAGGTCGAAATATACGAGTAGGATGTAAGTAGGGGGTTTATGGCTTGCAGGTTTTGGCGGATAGGGCGTACAGGGCCTGGGGCTCGCGCAGGTCGTTGCGGACTCAGGAATGCGGCTTATGTAAGGCTCTTACTTCATAGGGTCTATCAGATTCGTATTGGGGTTTCATGTTGGCTTATGCAAGGCGGGTGTTGGGGCTTCGGGTTTTTGAGGGATTCCTGATTCCGGGGGGGGGGGGGAGGTGAAGATGATCCGGAATCTGATGTCGAAGTGAGTGCCCAGCCCTCCTGGCGCCGAAAAGCATGTCACATCGCTGTCGGTCGGTCAAGCTTCCACCCTGCCGCAGATTTTGTGTCCTGAACGCGACGCCGTGCTGTCGAAGGCCAGTCAGATTCCGTCAACTGGTCGACGCTTGGTAAACAAGCCTCCGAACTAAAGCACCCAAAATCAAACTGCGGCTTGCCGCGGCCGAAACAGCGCAAGCTGATGTGTGGCCCGCATGCCATTATATCAAGGCTTCGACTGTGCATGTGACCGTCTATAGAGCCAAGAAGCAATCATGCTGATGGTTCAAGATGGTTGATTTGAAGTGAGACCTGCAAAAACAATGCCAATTCAAGGCTCCTGTGCTGGAGTCCGCAAACTTCTCTGAAGGTTGACGAGGAATAGAGACGACTACGTGGGAGTCATCTCAGATGAAAGGGGAGACCTTGCGGACGACGCCTCGGCCCTGGCTGTAGTGGTAGAGCGTGGTGTAGCCCAGGTGGAAGGGCAGCCAGGCGTACTGCAGCGCCTTGCCCAGGATCTTGTGGGCGTCGATGGACTGCTTGGCCAGGCGGTCGTTTCGGCGGTCGTCCTCTGCGTTGCCGGTCTTGTCGGAGCCGGGTGCCCACTTGAGGAAGTACTCGTTGGCGATGCCGGACACGGGCAGCAGCAGGGCGAAGGCGTAGAAGGCCCGGAGGCTCTGCGTCTCGATCATCTGCACCAGGGCGTTGCCGGGGAAGCGCGGCGGGATGCCGCTCTGCATGCGGAAGATCACGCGGAAGACGAGGGCCACCAGCATGAGGATGCCGGTCTGCTTGTGCCACCAGAGCATCTGCTTCTTGGCCTGGCCCTCCGAGTAGGATGCGGCCTGCGCGGTGCCCACGGCGCCGAAGATGCCCACGGCCATGATGAGGTGCAGGTGCCTCAGGGCACGGCTGTAGGTGAACTGGGACAGCGGCTTGCGGTTCTGGAAGGTCTTGTACAGGTACCAGGCCAGCCCAGCCGTGGCAAAGTCCGCGACCTTGTACCTCAGGTACCGGGCAAGCTCGGAGGTCTCCTCGCCGACCACCTGCTGCACCGCGGCGCTCTCGGACCAGTCCGTGTTCTCTGCCGGCACCAGCTGGCCCACAAGCATGTCACGGTCCCTCTGCACGCGGGCCTTCTCGGAGTGCTCGAAGACCTCGAAGTCCTTGGTGCAGTCCGTGCCCGCCTTGGACATCAGGATGTCGTCACCTCCCGGGTGGCTGCCCAGCAGAGGCTTCAGGTTGTAGACCCGGTTGTGGATGATCATGTAGGGCTCCTCCGCCGTGTTGTGCTTCGCCACCTCTGCGCGGGAGAAGAAGGGCAGGTCCTTGCCCGCGGAGATCTCTGCCAGCTTCGGGAACCGGCTCTCCTCCGACAGCGTGGGTGCATCCGTCTTGCCCGGCACCTTCACCGCCGTCTTGGCCGCCTCGATGTCCTCCTTGGACGGGCCCTCCAAGCGCCGCAGCTCGTCGTGCAGCTCCCTGAGCTCGCGGATGATGGCGTCCACCGGTGCCTCAGGACCCACCTTGCCCGTCTTGAACTCGGGGCGCATGTAGAACTCCATCCATTGCTTGCTGGGGAACCGGCCCGGGATCTTATTGAACATGGGCGTCGCATCGCGGCCGGCCCAGGCCAAGATGGAGTTGCGCTGCTCGGGGTGGTGCTGCAGGAAGTCGGTGAGGTCGTAGACCTCGCCGCTGATGGCGATCCAGCAGTCGTGCGGCTTGTTGTGTCGCGCCACCTCCGACAGGGGGATGTCGCTGCTCGAGAAGCCCAGTGGCACGCCGTGCTTGTGTGCGTGGTCCTGCCGGCGAGTATGTCGGAGGAGAATGACTGCATCTGCAAATTATCGGGACGAAAAATGAAAACTCAAAGCAAAGGCACTTGAGCCCGACATCCTCGTGCGACAGCAGATCCTCCATGGCTCTCTTGACCTCGGCAGCCTTGGCGAAGTCCTGGCCATTCCGTTGCTGGGGAGGTGCCGGCCTTAAGGCCCTAACCTCCGATAGCGATTGTAGCAGTATAGGGTGCCCAGTTTCTGCTCATTTGGTCCCTATAAGGACGTTTCCATCGGGGAAAAACATGGTACTTCGGGTCCGGGCTATCTAAAACGGCAGGACACATGCGCTCATGCAGATTCGACAAAAAAGAGGCAAGCAGTAAATTAATCGGCAATTGTCTGTATGTGTTTATGTAATGTACAATTTATTCTCACGGAGCTACCCGTTTAGTCGGTTGTTGACTCTGTTGTCAGTTCCTGCTTATAGGCATATAAATGCACAGAACATACCGCGAAATCTGTACCCTAAACCCTGTAAACCCTAAACCCTAAATCCACTATATGCGCACACCCAGCTCAGTCTTCCGAGAAATGGGCAGCACGACACGAAGAATGCATACATACATACATACATACATGCATGCATGCATGCATACATATATACATATATATATGTATATACATATATATATATCTATCTATCTGTACACACATAGCATAACATACGAAAATAAATACCAGAAGAAATATGTGTATATGTAAATACATATATATATATATACACATATGCAGAAAGAGAGAGGTCGCCCAAGGCAACCTCCTACCAGGTCTTTTTCAAAGGACGTTCCTCCGCATCCAAGGCGGCCCGCTTCTGCGTCTCCAAACGCTGGAGCTTGGTCTTCAGCGCCGGGTCTACGTTCCTTGCTGCTGCAGGCTTGTGAAGTCTAGCTTGAGAACCCCCAAACCGAATTTCAGTCGTAGGGTTTATGACCCCAAATTCGGTCGTAGGGTTTATGACCCCAAACCTGATCGAATCATCGAACTCGTAGGGCTTTGGGTTCTTTCGGTCGGGTTTATGAGCACCGCAGCCAGAACACAATCACAAGGAATGGGCTGAATTGAGCATTCTCATGAATCTGTTTCGACTTATACGGCCAGCGGTCACGGCAGTAGCCGCAGCAATTACAACCATCCAACGCTAAGAAAGAACAGGACTAACATGAATTGAATAAAAGCCCGCGCCACCCGAACCACTGCAAAACAACCCTAAACCAAACCCTATATAACCCTAAACCCTAAACAGGTCGTGCAATCCAGCATGCTTCATTGAAAATACTCTTCCAAAATCGTAAGGGAGCACGGCAAAACTCGCTTTTCTACTAGTGAGCCATGCCCACACAGTATTACATCTTAACTTATGCTATATAGCAATTCTCGCATTTTCTATGTGTCCTTCGGGGTCCAGGATGTGGAAGGCTGGTCAACACGGCACAAATGAACAACATACAGGGTTTAGGGCTAGGGGGGGTAGGGTTTAAGGTTGTAGGGTTTAGGGTTTAGGGTTTGGGGTGTAGGGGAGGCTTGTTGCTCTTGGCTGCCAGGGTGCTTGTCCTGGAGGAGACGCGGGATGCTGTCGGCCTGACACAGAGTGCTTTAAAGTCACATGTCTTTGCAACTCGGTAAGGCTTTTTGGGGGAGAGGGTTTAGGGTTTATGGTTTTGGGGTTTGGGGCCCAAACCTACTCAATCGTGTTCAGGATTATGGCAGATAATCGGCGAAGTTGCAGGCCTTGTGGGTCTCGGTGCACTGGTTGAGCAGACGGTCAACCTCCTGCCGGATCTCGACGATGCGGGCCTGTGCCGAAGCAAGAGAACAAGCGCAGCAACAGCACCGAAAGCTCCGTGCCGTGCTCGGCAAACTGGAGCCGGAGCCCGGAAACTCCCGTACGCGCACGCAGGGCCGCGCCTCGCGCAGCGTGTGCCAGAACTCGTCGGACATGAGGTTCTCGTCGACGCCCAGGTCGCCCAGGAAGGCCTCGGGCCGCAAGTAGGTGTCGATCCTCGGTCAACAGGCATACGCGACAGCGCCAGGCCACCCCCACCACTGACGTTGCTTGCATTTTGCCGCATTCTGCCGCATTTCGGGTCCAAGCGTCTTGACGCCCTTGTGGATGTCATTGAAGAACTTCGAGGCGTCCTTCCCCGCCCAGGCCAGGATGGTCGTGGGGCCACCGGGATGCCGGTCCATGAACTCCGACAGGTCGTAGACCTGCCAGGACACCACCGTCTTCACAAGCCTGTTGTCTTGCATGATATTCATTTGTGATCCTATCAGGTCTCCATGGCCCACTCTGTGTACGCTACGAGGTCTTGGCGATTCTTGTGCTTGTGTCATACGGCTGTGCCCAAAAACACATCCAAGCCCAAAGCCTACATCTCAAAGCCACTCCTACAAGCACCCGGCAAGTACGAGATCACCAACCTAGGAATGGAAAGAGTGCACTTTGTAGTTTGAAGGGGCTTATAATCATCCCTAAACCCTACAAAAGGCGATAAGGGCCCACTCTGGGTCCCAGAAGAACTGCACTCAAGGCCACCCACCGCCCAAGAAATGACACCTTGCCATTGAGCGCCACCCAGCAGTTCTCGGGTGTGCAGTGGCGATTCACCTGTGTTGGTTCGGGTGTGGGGCATCAACAAGATGGGCTTTGTAGGGACTGTGGATGTAAGGGGTATAGATAATGCCCTTCATGCATCTCCTGGCTGAATACACCTATAAGCCCTAGGCCCTAGGCAGCTCCCAACCCTAAACCATATATCCCTGAAATCCAAGACAATGTGAGCATGATGAACTAGGGAAACTCCATCAAGCCCATGTCTCTAAACCTCTATAGAAACTCAAGCCTTCCACCTTCCTTTCTTGCGGTTCTGAAAAGGGCCGGAGCTAGGCACCCTATATCCCCCATGAAGATATTACCTGTTATGAGGCCTTATAAAGGTGATTGAGTTCCCGAAATCCAGATCCCTACTAGTACCAGTAAGGTGGAAGTGGCGAGGCCGGGAAGCCATCAAAGTGGGAATCCCCAACCTTCCTGAAGCCTGCGAGCTCCGAAGACCTCAACCCCCAAACCCAACAAAGCCTAAACCCTAAACCCTAAACCCTAAACCCTAAACCCTAAACCCCTAAACCCTTAAACCCTTAAACCCCCTAAACCCCTAAACCCCAAACTCTCTCTTTAGGATCCTTAGCTCTGGGAGCCTCCGAGAGCGGGATGTTCTTGGAGATGGCCGACGTGCCGGGCTCGTGGATTACTTTCTGCTGCATGTCGGGGACCTTCTCTGCGTGTTTGTGGTTTAGGGTTTAGGGTTTTACGGTTTTAGGGTTTAGGGTTTAGGGCTTAGGGTTCAGGGTTTAGGGTTTAGGGTTTAGGGTTTAGGGTTCAGGGTTTAGGGCTTACATAGGGCTTGCCCTAAGGGTCCATGTACCTCATCATTATATACTTGGGCCCCAAAGTCCCTACATAGGTTCTTTAAGGCCCAAGTGCCCCCTATTTAGGTACATGGACCCTCTGGGTCATTAACCTAAACCTAAACCCTAAACCTGAACCCTGAACCCTCAACCCTAAACCCTATTGAGGTACATGGACCCTTAGGGTTAGACATGGTTGGAGGGATTGTATAGGGTCTTTGGGGGGGGGGGGGGGGCTTCCCTACGGGAGTCTTGTTGCATAGCATCTTTCAGAGGCGTTCAGGGTTCGAAGCCGAGATGCTCAGAAATTTGGGTAGCCCTAAACCCGAAACCCTAAACCCTAAACCATAAACCCTAAGCCCCAAACCCTCAAGCCTATAAACCCTATACCCTGGAGGTTCATCGTCTTATCTTCGAAAGGTATGGGGTTGTGGATGGCCATTGACGATGGGGGGCGGGGGGGACGCGCAGAGTCTTGTTCTATCTTGTTCTCAGGTCATGTTGAGGGAATGTCGTCTTTCAGAACCGACAGTCACAGGACGCCCTGAAATTGAGGGAGGGCATGCTGAGCAGTTTGGCAGGGCACGCTGGCGGGGTGCTCGTCGGTGTACACGGCTGCCATGATCGGTCAGGGAGCAATGGACACACAGAGGTCTCCGATTGAAGTGCTGGCACTTTGAGATTGCAGGCTGCAGCATGGGGCCACGGCAGATATGCAGGTGTGGTCCGGCTGTGGCGGTCCCCTGTGTGTGTGTGTGTGTGCATCTCTTTACCATGCTCAGCTGGGCAGCTAGATCTAGAATGCATGACAGCGTCACAGGGCCCATTTTAGTTTTGAGTCGCTGTTGACATGCGGGTGCGAAACGGTGCTCTCGACGACCAGCCAGATTCCGTTCAAGTCACGCATGGTGGACAGGTCTTCGAACTGGAGCACTCAAAACTCGGGCTGCATGCTCGACACTATGGTCGGCTTCGCCCGTGATATCGCGGCTTCGACTGTGCGTGTGACTGTCTCTCAAAGCCAGAGCTATGAAGATTTAACAAGGTGAGACCGGGAAAACAATACCGACAAGTAAGAGACGACTACGTGGGAGTCATCTCAGATGAAGGGGGAGACCTTGCGGACGACGCCTCGGCCCTGGCTGTAGTGGTAGAGCGTGGTGTAGCCCAGGTGGAAGGGCAGCCAGGCGTACTGCAGCGCCTTGCCCAGGATCTTGTGGGCGTCGATGGACTGCTTGGCCAGGCGGTCGTTTCGGCGGTCGTCCTCTGCGTTGCCGGTCTTGTCAGAGCCGGGCGCCCACTTGAGGAAGTACTCGTTGGCGATGCCGGACACGGGCAGCAGCAGGGCGAAGGCGTAGAAGGCCCGGAGACTCTGGGTCTCGATCATCTGCACCAGGGCGTTGCCGGGGAAGCGCGGCGGGATGCCGCTCTGCATGCGGAAGATCACGCGGAAGACGAGGGCCACCAGCATGAGGATGCCGGTCTGCTTGTGCCACCAGAGCATCTGCTTCTTGGCCTGGCCCTCCGAGTAGGAGGCGGCCTGCGCGGTGCCCACGGCGCCAAAGATGCCGACGGCCATGATGAGGTGCAGGTGCCTCAGGGCGCGGCTGTAGGTGAACTGGGACAGCGGCTTGCGGTTCTGGAAGGTCTTGTACAGGTACCAGGCCAGCCCAGCCGTGGCAAAGTCCGCGACCTTGTACCTCAGGTACCGGGCAAGCTCGGAGGTCTCCTCGCCGACCACCTGCTGCACCGCGGCGCTCTCGGACCAGTCCGTGTTCTCTGCCGGCACCAGCTGGCCCACCAGCATGTCACGGTCCCTCTGCACACGGGCCTTCTCGGAGTGCTCGAAGACCTCGAAGTCCTTGGTGCAGTCCGTGCCCGCCTTGGACATCAGGATGTCGTCACCTCCCGGGTGGCTGCCCAGCAAAGGCTTCAGGTTGTAGACCCGGTTGTGGATGATCATGTAGGGCTCCTCCGCCGTGTTGTGCTTCGCCACCTCTGCGCGGGAGAAGAAGGGCAGGTCCTTGCCCGCGGAGATCTCCGCCAGCTTCGGGAACCGGCTCTCCTCCGACAGCGTGGGTGCATCCGTCTTGCCCGGCACCTTCACTGCCGTCTTCGCCGCCTCGATGTCCTCCTTGGAGGGGCCCTCCAGGCGACGCAGCTCGTCGTGCAGCTCCCTGAGCTCGCGGATGATGGCGTCCACCGGTGCCTCCGGACCCACCTTGCCCGTCTTGAACTCGGGGCGCATGTAGAACTCCATCCATTGCTTGCTGGGGAACCGGCCCGGGATCTTATTGAACATGGGCGTCGCATCGCGGCCGGCCCAGGCCAAGATGGAGTTGCGCTGCTCGGGGTGGTGCTGCAGGAAGTCGGTGAGGTCGTAGACCTCGCCGCTGATGGCGATCCAGCAGTCGTGCGGCTTGTTGTGTCGCGCCACCTCCGACAGGGGGATGTCGCTGCTCGAGAAGCCCAGTGGCACGCCGTGCTTGTGTGCGTGGTCCTGCCGGCGAGTATGTTGGAGGAGACTGCTCAATAGGACAGGTAAAACACTTGAACCCAATATCCTCGTGCGACAGCAGATCCTCCATGGCTCTCTTGACCTCGGCAGCCTTGGCGAAGTCCTGGCCAGTCCGCTCCAGGGCGCATAGTGCTGGGGCGGTGTCGGGCATAGGGGTGTTGCGAAGCAAGCAAGCAGATGTGCAAAGTGCATGGCGACTTGTCCCACACTGCTCAGGGTCAAAAAGGATGAATAAGGACAAAGTCTGCCAAACATTGGTCAAAAAAGAGTTAGGGGTGTTCAGGGTTCGTTTGCTGCGTTTGCTTAAGGCGCCGGTGCAAACTTCCCGGCCCTAGTCGCAGCACTGCCCTCAAGAGCAACCCTGAGCCCTGAATTTATGTGCCCCGTATTCATTCAGAGGGCATATAGGAGATAGTCAAGGTGAAAACCTTTCAATTCTTTCAGCCCTGCAGACGTCCCCCAAACCTAAACCCTGAACCCTCTATACAACGTAAACTGCAAACGCTATCAAGCCCCAAACCCCAACCCCGCCCCTTCTTCCTCGGCATCCAAGGCTGCGCGCTTCTGCGTCTCCAAACGCTGGAGCTTGGTCTTCAGTGCCGGGTCCAAGTTCCTTGTCACGGCGGGCATCCAGCTTATCAAGTTGATGCACCAGAGTCAGAAACACAAATGGCCAAGTAAAAAGCTATATATGCGGACGGTATCTGGTCTTCAACTATCTCCTTACAACAGATCCCTTGGTGAATATGCACCATATGATGCCTAGGTTTACGCAGCAGGAGAAGTGTCACTTACACCGAAGGCGGAAAGCATGCCCCATTCTACCTCTGGCGCGCCCCCCATGGAACCATGTAAGTTTAGCCTTCGGCGTGACCCTTGCACAGGTACTATGTACCCAGGCCACTGCGCATGAACATGACATAAATGAATAACAGGGTGAAGTTTGAGGTTTGTAGGGTTTAGGGTTTAGGGTTTAGGGTTTAGGGTTTAGGGTTTAGGGTTTAGGGATTAGGGTTTAGGGTTTAGGGTGTTTGGATGGCTGCCAGGGCACTTGTCCTGGAGAAGTCGCGGGATGCTGTCGGCCTGGCACAGGGCGCTCGAGAGTCGCGCGTTCAAGAAACTCAGAAGCACGTTCGGTCCATCGAACCTAGCTACTCAGTCATGGCTTTTTGGGGGATAAGGTTTATAGAGTTTAGGGTTTTGGGTTTTGGGTTTAGGGTTCACTATCGTGTTCGGGATAAAGGCAGATAATCGGCAAATCTGCAGGCCTTGTGGGTCTCGGTGCACTGGTCGAGCAGACGGTCGACCTCCTGCCGGATCTCGACGATTCGGGCCTGTGCCGAGCAGGACAACAAGCGCAGCAGCCACAAAAACGAAGCCACCCACCTGTGCGTCATGGCCGCGCCTCGCGCAGCGTGTGCCAGAACTCGTCGGACATGAGGTTCTCGTCGACGCCCAGGTCGCCCAGGAAGGCCTCGGGCCGCAAGTAGGCGTCGATCCTCGGTGAAAACATTCTGGACATGCACCCAAGCCAGCAACATGAAACCACCTGCGACACCAACGGCTGACGCTGCTTGCATTCTGCCACATTCTGCCGCATTTCGGGTCCAAGCGTCTTGACGCCCTTGTGGATGTCATTGAAGAACTTCGAAGCGTCCTTCCCCGCCCAGGCCAGGATGGTCGTGGGGCCACCGGGATGCCGGTCCATGAACTCCGACAGGTCGTAGACCTGCCAAGACACCACCGTCTTCACAAGCCGTGCCTTTGCCGTTCCCGGGTTGTCTCGCATGATGTTGGCGGCCCGTACAGGTCTCCAAGTCCAACTCGGTGTGCTTGTAACACACAGCTGTGCCCAACACCCAACCCATGAAAGCCCAAACCCTACATCGTTAAGCCACTCCTACAAGCACCGGGTAATTGCGAGGATCACCAACGACCTCATAGACCCGGCTACCCAAGGCCACCGCCCAAGAACCTTGCCATTCAGCGCCACCCAGCAGTTCTCGGGCGTGCAGTGGCGATTCACCTGCGTGGGTTCAAACTGTGCGGATAATTCGAGATTGTGGATGCAAGGGGTAGTACACCTAGGCTGTTTGCATGGTAGGGCAACCTGCCAACACAAAGTCTTAAATCTAAACTGCTGATGCCCAACTAACCTGCAAGCATGGTGAACTCCACAAGCTCTCCAAACCTTTTTCTCAAACCCCCCCAAATAAGCCCAACGTGCTCAGACAGGGCAGGGTGTCTGGGGCCAGGGAGTTTATAACTTCTCCGAGGCCGAGCATCAAGGCAGGCGAGGCGACTTGGAGGCTCATGGGTACTTAGAACTAGAGCTATAAGTGCCCGAAATGGGGTCAGGAGTATATTAGTTACCATCTTCCTTGTAACACTACTACTTGTAACTGTATACCCCATGAACCCTCCAAGTGGCCCTGAACCCTATTATGAACCCTACAAGTCCTACAGCCGAAGCCCCAACCTCGGCGAGCGGAAGATCGAACCTCGAACCTATTTTCCTTCAGCCTGCAGGTCCTGAAGAAAAAACGAGAAAAGACCTACAACTTCTTGCTTTTTGGAAGAGAACTGAGCACCGTTTCTCCCCCTTTGTAGCCAAGCCTTTGAAGGATTACATGGGTAACCACTTCCCGAATTCCATAACGGTATGATACGCATTCGTCCACGAAGCACCACGAGGGAATCCGAAACATCCCTGAAACCATAAAAACGCAAACCCAAAGTTCAGACCCTAAACCCACTGAACCTGAAACCCTATTTAGGGCTTGGGGACACGCTTTCTGGGCCGTTGTGGCCTTCACAGGGTTCCCCACTCGACCGTTTCAGGATTTGCCGGGTCTCGAGCCTCTGTTTAGGGTCAATAGGGGCTTCAGGTCAACCCTTAAAAACCCTATAGACCCCAAACCCTAGACCCGAAACATTCCGCAACTGTAGGCCTGTAGGGCCTAGGGTTTGGGTACCCTGAAAGTTTTTGGAACGGGTCGGTTGAGACGTGAGCCTCCGAGAGAGGGATGTTCTTGGAGATGGCGGACGTGCCGGGCTCGTGGATCACTTTCTGCTGGAAGTCTGGGACCTTCTCTGTATTCTTCATGTTTTTAGGGTATGGGCTTAAGTAGCATTCATGAAGAAAGGCGGGGGCGTGCTGGAACGCCGAACGCTGGCAGGGCACGCTGGCGGGGTGCTCGTCGGTGTACACGGCTGCCATGATCGGTCAGGAGCAATGGACACAAAAGAGATCTCAGATCGAAAGCGCTGGCACTGCGAGATTGCAAAATGTGCTGCAGCGTGGGATGGCCGGCCCATCTTTTGGTGCGTGCATACGTGGGTGCGTGCCTGCATGGGTGGGCAGCTGTGCTTGTGCGTCTGTCTGTCTGTCTGTCTGTCTGTCTGTCTGTCTGTCTGTCTGTCTGTCTGTCTGTCTGTCTGTCTGTCTGTCTGTCTGTGTGTGTGTGTGTGCGCCTCTTCACCGTGCTCATGCTGAAAGTCCGAGGACGTATAAACAGAGCTGGGCCGCTAGATTGACGGCCCCTGCAGCATGATTTTGCGTCGCTGTTGACATGCGGGTGCGAAACGGTGCTCTCGACGACCAGCCAGATTCCGTTCAAGTCACGCATGGTGGACAGGTCTTCGAACTGGAGCACTCAAAACTCGGGCTGCATGCTCGACACTATGGTCGGCTTCGCCCGTGATATCGCGGCTTCGACTGTGCGTGTGACTGTCTCTCAAAGCCAGAGCTATGAAGATTTAACAAGGTGAGACCGGGAAAACAATACCGACAAGTAAGAGACGACTACGTGGGAGTCATCTCAGATGAAGGGGGAGACCTTGCGGACGACGCCTCGGCCCTGGCTGTAGTGGTAGAGCGTGGTGTAGCCCAGGTGGAAGGGCAGCCAGGCGTACTGCAGCGCCTTGCCCAGGATCTTGTGGGCGTCGATGGACTGCTTGGCCAGGCGGTCGTTTCGGCGGTCGTCCTCTGCGTTGCCGGTCTTGTCGGAGCCGGGCGCCCACTTGAGGAAGTACTCGTTGGCGATGCCGGACACGGGCAGCAGCAGGGCGAAGGCGTAGAAGGCCCGGAGGCTCTGCGTCTCGATCATCTGCACCAGGGCGTTGCCGGGGAAGCGCGGCGGGATGCCGCTCTGCATGCGGAAGATCACGCGGAAGACGAGGGCCACCAGCATCAGGATGCCGGTCTGCTTGTGCCACCAGAGCATCTGCTTCTTGGCCTGGCCCTCCGAGTAGGAGGCGGCCTGCGCGGTGCCCACGGCGCCAAAGATGCCCACGGCCATGATGAGGTGCAGGTGCCTCAGGGCGCGGCTGTAGGTGAACTGGGACAGGGGCTTGCGGTTCTGGAAGGTCTTGTACAAGTACCAGGCCAACCCAGCAGCAGCCAGGTCCGCGACCTTGTATTTGAGGAACCGGGCGATCTCCGAGGTCTCCTCGCCGACCACCTGCTGCACCGCGGCGCTCTCGGACCAGTCCGTGTTCTCTGCCGGCACCAGCTGGCCCACCAGCATGTCACGGTCCCTCTGCACACGGGCCTTCTCGGAGTGCTCGAAGACCTCGAAGTCCTTGGTGCAGTCCGTGCCTGCCTTGGACATCAAAATGTCGTCACCTCCCGGGTGGCTGCCCAGCAAAGGCTTCAGGTTGTAGACCCGGTTGTGGATGATCATGTAGGGCTCCTCCGCCGTGTTGTGCTTCGCCACCTCTGCGCGAGAGAAGAAGGGCAGGTCCTTGCCCGCGGAGATCTCCGCCAGCTTCGGGAACCGGCTCTCCTCCGACAGCGTGGGTGCATCCGTCTTGCCCGGCACCTTCACTGCCGTCTTCGCCGCCTCGATGTCCTCCTTGGAGGGGCCCTCCAGGCGACGCAGCTCGTCGTGCAGCTCCCTGAGCTCGCGGATGATGGCGTCCACCGGTGCCTCCGGACCCACCTTGCCCGTCTTGAACTCGGGGCGCATGTAGAACTCCATCCATTGCTTGCTGGGGAACCGGCCCGGGATCTTGTTGAACATGGGCGTCGCATCGCGGCCGGCCCAGGCCAAGATGGAGTTGCGCTGCTCGGGGTGGTGCTGCAGGAAGTCGGTGAGGTCGTAGACCTCGCCGCTGATGGCGATCCAGCAGTCGTGCGGCTTGTTGTGTCGCGCCACCTCCGACAGGGGGATGTCGCTGCTCGAAAAGCCCAGCGGCACATCGTGCTTGTGCGCGTGGTCCTGCCGAGGAACAGGCTGGCTGAGCTAGCTGTGCTCCTTGCTGCATGTGCGAAGCATATTCGTTTATCACTGTATTGTGCCTATAGACACTGTATTGTGCCTATAGACTATCATAGACACCCCCAAAAAGAAACTACGCTCGGTAGAAAAGAGTCAAGGATCGATCACTTTCAGGAACCAGACCAACGTCCTGGTGAGACAGCAGATCCTCCATCGCCCGCTTGACCTCGGCAGCCTTGGCGAAGTCCTGAAATCTCTGCTTCGCAGATGAGTTTAGAGTTTAGGGTTTCGGGCTAGCATTTACTTAAGGCCTATTAGGTTTTCAAATGGGTTACCCATGAGTCGAATGTCAAGAACATCCTGAAGCGAATTCCTATCTCACACCCCAACCCTGAAACTTCCTGCTAATCCTGGAACCCACGGCCTCAAACCGTGATGTGGTGGTTTCTGAAATAATAGGGGTACCTGATTTAAGGGAACCCATACTTTTGGGGGGTCTGTTGTAGGGGTCCCTCGATTGTCGTAAACCCCATGTGTTTCCGGCGTATCCCTGCCTCGCCCTGAGTAATCCATCCAATAGCCCCATGTGTTCACCCAGATGGGCCCCACCATGCGTCAACACCCCTAGGCCCAACTACAAGCCCGAAACATCCTAAACATCCTAGATAAACCCTAAACCCTAAACCCTAAACCCAGACGTCCTGAACCCTATACATTCAAAACCCTTAACCCCATGGAAGCCCTATAAACCCTAAACACCCAAAACCCGAGCCCTACACCCTAAACCCTATAGACCCTAAAACCTAGGCCCGAAACCCTAAACCCTAAACCCTAAACCCTAAACCCTAGCCCTAAACCCTAAACCCTAAACCCTAAACCCTAAACCCTAAACCCTAAACCCTAAACCCTAAACCCTAAACCCTAAACCCTAAACCCTAGCCCTAAACCCTGAACCCTAAACCCTAAACCCTGAACCCTAAACCCTAAACCCTAAACCCTAAACCCTAAACCCTTCTGTTGCCTCCGCATCCAAGGCCGCCCGCTTCTGCGTCTCCAGGCGCTGGAGCTTGGTCTTCAAAGTCGGATCCAGGCTCCTTGGTTGGGTGTTTTTGAGGCTTATAGAGTTTAGGGTTTAGGGTTTAGGGTTTGGGGTTTAGGGTTTGGGGTGCAGAGTTTAGGGTTTAGGATGTGGGAGTTGGGGTTTAAGGATGCGGGGTATGGGGTTTAGGGTTGAGGTATTCGGGTTTGAGGCCGACGGGTTTAGGGTTGCTTATAGGGCTTAGGGAATCGAACTCGCCAAGCCAGAGCAAATAGGAGAACGCTGAACAGTCTAGCAACAAGCAGGGCTATGCATCTGACACATCTTTTCCAAAACCTTGCTAAAGCACTTTACACCACATAAAATAAGTTAAGACCTAACCTGAACCCTCCGTGTAGACCCCAAAGGTCTCGATCCTGAGTCCTCGAAGAGAGCCAATCTTACTATATGCATAAGGGACATAACTGCCCATAACCCAATTGGATACCTTCAAACCAGTCCCCTCCCCTCCCTATAGGACTGAAGATGTTCATGGATTTAATTTAACACTTTCTGGGGGGTGGGGTTCAGGATTTCGGGTTTCAGGTGTGGGTATATTGACAGCTCCTGCGGCAAAGCCGGTGAGGGAGCAGAACTCACCGCAGCATGGCTGGCAAGCTATATTCAGTCAACCTTCAAAGCCCAAACGCGTGCAAATCCCGTGTCTATGCCTTGAGAGCCCCAAAAGCTATTTGTTTCCGGGCTGCTGCTTCTAGAAAAACCCTCATGAGATTCTCAAGCAACTCCCCAAGGTTGCGGCTCTATAGTGGAGATGGTGCCGATTGCTGCCAGGGCACTTGTCCTGGAGGAGACGTGGGATGCTGTCGGCCTTGCGAATCGGCATAAGCTCAGTCGATGTGATTCCGGTGCGGTTTAGGGTTTAGGGTTGAGTTTAGGAGTTTAGGAGTTTCGGAGTCTAGGGTTTAACTTCTACAGGCTACCTGCAGGCCACGGCCCAATCGGCAGTGAGCTCCGGGCCTTGTGAGTCTCGGTGCACTGGTCGAGCAGACGGTCGACCTCCTGCCGGATCTCAACGATGCGGGCCTGTGCCGAGCAGGACAAGAAGCGCAGCGGCGGCCAAAACGAAGCCACCCACCCTGCCCGTGCGCGCACGCAGGGCCGCGCCTCGCGCAGCGTGTGCCAGAACTCGTCGGACATGAGGTTCTCGTCGACGCCCAAGTCGCCCAGGAAGGCCTCGGGCCGCAAGTAGGCGTCGATCCTCGGTGGAAACACGCACGAAGATGCAGAAACTCCCAGCCAAAACCCCAACGACTGCATGACGTTGCTTGCATTCTGCCGCATTTCGGCTCCAAGCGTCTTGACGCCCTTGTGGATGTCATTGAAGAACTTCGAGGCGTCCTTCCCCGCCCAGGCGAGGATGGTCGTGGGGCCGCCGGGATGCCGGTCCATGAACTCCGACAGGTCGTAGACCTGCCGAAGCCCAGAGCGGCTCCCTGCAGTACTCAGGATCACTGTGCTATTCCAGACTCAAGAAGTACGTATGCCTTGTCTATGTTCTACGCCTTGGGAATCGGGCTCCTCCCCACTCAGACCCAAGAACGCGCACCTTGCCATTGAGCGCCACCCAGCAGTTCTCCGGAGTGCAGTGGCGATTCACCTGCATGCACCGTCAGCACATCCTGAAACCCACACACTCTCACCCCTTTGAAAGCCCTCAGCCCCGAAAACGTTGCCTAGACCCATCAACCCTCATGAGGCTTTGCGAGGATTGAAGGCTTTCGGGCTGCAGGGGGAAGATCACACTAAACCCTAAACCCCAACCCTCTCAACGGCCAATAAGGCTCTACCCCCAACATCAGCCCACCGTTGCCCTAGACCAAGCCCTGAACTCCAAACTGCTTCCTGAGCCCCGTAGGGTTCAGGGTTTATGGTTTAGGGTTTAGGGAGACCTATCGAACTTTGGAATGGGTACTCCAAATAGTCTTGGGGGGGAGATGCTAGAGGACGGCAGGGTGAGGGTATATGAGTCGGCGTCAAACCTACTTGTTCAGGTCTTGCTTGTTTTTGAATTGGCGCGTCCCCTATCGTTTCCCATGTTTTGCACCTACCGCACTTTTCTCCTATCGTATCAAATCACCCTATCATTTTAGCGAGTCGCCTATCGATCCTTTGCGTTTTGCTGCAACAACTACCCCCTCTACTAAAATAATCAAGCGGTGATTTTGACCGCGTCTCATCTGTGGGCTATAGGGACCGAACATATACTCAGGCTCCTCCCTAAACCTCATAAACCCTAGAAACCCTATATCAGTACCTACCCTCACCCCCATAAACCCGATACACCCTATAAACCCCATAAACTCTATAATCACTATAAAATACCCTAAAATCCCCAACCCTCATCTCAGCCTCCGAGAGTGGGATGTTCTTGGAGATGGCCGACGTCCCGGGCTCGTGGATCACTTTCTGCTGCATGTCGGGGACCTTCTCTCTGTACTGCGGGCTCTAGGGTTTAGGGGTTTAGGGTTTATAGGGTCTAGGGTTTAGGGTTTGGGTTTAGGGTTCTCTCAAGAGCCTCCCTGTAAGGTGTGGGTCGCTGAGGGTTCTGCATCCGAGTTGGAGGTTCTATAGCGATGCTTAGGTGAGGCTTAGAGAGCACACGACATGAGGGGCTCAGTGGGGTATTATACTCGTAGGGCCCCTGTTGCGCCGAGGTCTTCACCTACTGCTTAGGGCATTTTTGTAGCGGTAGGGTAAGTGTCATGCGATGGTCGATGAGCCGGTTGCAGACTATAGGCGCACCAAACCCTAAATCCGTTCTCTTCTGTGCTTCTGATCGTACCCCTAAACCCTAAACCCTAAACCCTAAACCCTAAACCCACCATAAACCCGACAAGACCTACCACAACGAAGTTCAGTCAGGGAGTACAGCCAAACCCCAACACCCGCATCTCGACTGAGCACTTGGCTCATGAACCAATTACGGACAGGGTCGGGTTCACAGGGCAATGTAGGGTCTAGGGCCCATATAGCTTAATAGGACCAGGTACCATGGTCCCCGTTTAAGGCTTCAGTTGGTCCACACATGGACGAATGCCGTTAGGGCACGCTGGCGGGGTGCTCGTCGGTGTTCTTGGCCGCCATGATCCTTGGCTGTTCCATGATCAGATTTGTTTACAAACCAAGTGTCATACACTAATGTTCTAGCCCCAATTCAAGAGAACGAGCTGAAACAAAGAGCCCTTTGCAGGAATTGCCAAGGATCGGTCAGGGAGCACAAGACACAGAACGGTCTCAGATTGAAGCGCTGGAACTTTGAGATTGCAAATGTGCTTCGGCATTGGTCTGCTTCGATGGGAACGGAGTGGAGCTTGGTTTCTTGCATAAGGAAGTACCGGATTCAGACAGAAGGCTAGAAAGAAATGGTCATCCTGACTTGCTGCGAAACTTCTTCATGTCAGAAGCGATCTCGGTGACCTCTCATTCTGCCTACAAATTATCCACTCCCAGGATCGAATGTTCTGTCAGCCAGAGCCGGGCTTTTTACGTTGTTGCCACGTGGGCGCGAAACGGTGCTCTCGACGACCAGCCAAATTCCGTCACAATCACGAGCGCATGGTGGACAAGCCTTCGAGCTGGAGCACACTCAAAACTAGGACGGCTTGGTACATGGGCCAGCATAGGCTGACCGTGCCACCGTCGCCATCGTGCATAAGTCATACGGCTTCGACGGTTCGTTTGACCGTCTCAAGAAGCCACCTGGGATTTAAAAAAGGTGAGACATGCAACACACGACTGACGCAACTTGAAAGTACTCCGAGCATGGCGATGGCGATGCCCGAGCTTCCACTCAGATGAAGGGGGAGACCTTGCGGACGACGCCTCGGCCCTGGCTGTAGTGGTAGAGCGTGGTGTAGCCCAGGTGGAAGGGCAGCCAGGCGTACTGCAGCGCCTTGCCCAGGATCTTGTGGGCGTCGATGGACTGCTTGGCCAGGCGGTCGTTTCGGCGGTCGTCCTCTGCGTTGCCGGTCTTGTCGGAGCCGGGTGCCCACTTGAGGAAGTACTCGTTGGCGATGCCGGACACCGGCAGCAGCAGGGCGAAGGCGTAGAAGGCCCGGAGGCTCTGCGTCTCGATCATCTGCACCAGGGCGTTGCCGGGGAAGCGCGGCGGGATGCCGCTCTGCATGCGGAAGATCACGCGGAAGACGAGGGCCACCAGCATCAGGATGCCGGTCTGCTTGTGCCACCAGAGCATCTGCTTCTTGGCCTGGCCCTCCGAGTAGGAGGCGGCCTGCGCGGTGCCCACGGCGCCGAAGATGCCCACGGCCATGATGAGGTGCAGGTGCCTCAGGGCGCGGCTGTAGGTGAACTGGGACAGCGGCTTGCGGTTCTGGAAGGTCTTGTAGAGGTACCAAGCCAGCCCAGCAGCAGCAAGGTCCGCGACCTTGTATTTGAGGAACCGGGCGATCTCCGAGGTCTCCTCGCCGACCACCTGCTGCACCGCCGCACTCTCGGACCAGTCCGTGTTCTCTGCCGGCACCAGCTGGCCCACCAGCATGTCGCGGTCCCTCTGCACGCGGGCCTTCTCGGAGTGCTCGAAGACCTCGAAGTCCTTGGTGCAATCCGTGCCCGCCTTGGACATCAGGATGTCGTCACCTCCCGGGTGGCTGCCCAGCAGAGGCTTCAGGTTGTAGACCCGGTTGTGGATGATCATGTAGGGCTCCTCCGCCGTGTTGTGCTTCGCCACCTCTGCACGGGAGAAGAAGGGCAGGTCCTTGCCCGCGGAGATCTCCGCCAGCTTCGGGAACCGGCTCTCCTCCGACAGCGTGGGTGCGTCCGTCTTGCCCGGCACCTTCACCGCCGTCTTCGCCGCCTCGATGTCCTCCTTGGACGGGCCCTCCAAGCGCCGCAGCTCGTCGTGCAGCTCCCTGAGCTCGCGGATGATGGCGTCCACCGGTGCCTCAGGACCCACCTTGCCCGTCTTGAACTCGGGGCGCATGTAGAACTCCATCCATTGCTTGCTGGGGAACCGGCCCGGGATCTTGTTGAACATGGGCGTCGCATCGCGGCCGGCCCAGGCCAAGATGGAGTTGCGCTGCTCGGGGTGGTGCTGCAGGAAGTCGGTGAGGTCGTAGACCTCGCCGCTGATGGCGATCCAGCAGTCGTGCGGCTTGTTGTGTCGCGCCACCTCCGACAGGGGGATGTCGCTGCTCGAGAAGCCCAGCGGCACGCCGTGCTTGTGCGCGTGGTCCTGCCGGCGAGTGTGCGTGCTGGAAAATCCAGACACACTTATAAGCCCCTTAAGTACCCTGTTTAGGGTTTAGGGCTTAGGGTTTATGGTTTATTTCATAGGATTATGACTGGGTTATAAGTACGGCTATATTTGGGCTACTAAGTACACTGAACCTCCAAGTACGACATCGGATGAGGATGGTGTAGGGCTTTGTAACCGGGCAATCGCACCAGAACCACCCCTTTGACACCCCTATAAACCCTATAAGCCCCAAAGCCCTGGAACCGTAAGAAAGGAGGGAGAAGGCGCCCTAAACCCTACACCCCAAACCCTAAACCCTAAATCCTTAAACCACAAACCCTAAACCCTAAACCCTAAACCCTAAACCCTAAACCCTAAACCCTAAACCCAAAATCGCGGCCTCGTGCGACAAGAGCTCTTCCATGGCCCGTTTCACCTCTGCAGCTTTGGCGAAGTCCTGCAGGGCTTGGGGTTCAGGGTTTAGGGTTTAGGGTTTCGGGTTTAGGGTTTCGGGTTTAGGGTTTCGGGTTTAGGGTCTTTTAGCCACCCATGAACCCGCAACAAAAAAAACCAAAGGCCCAATCAACCCGTAAACCCCAAGGCCCCACAAAACCCTCAAACCCCTAACCCCCCATCAACCCAAAAAAAATCTTAAACCCCTAAAAGCCCAGTAAACCCCAAAGCCCCCAAAAAACCCTTAAACCCCCACACCCTTAAACCCCAAAAATCAATCCCCCAAATTTCTAACCCCAAAGCCCCAAAAACCCTTAAACCCCTCTTCCCCTAAAAGCCCTCGATGCCACGCGGCCTCGGCATCCAAAGCTGCGCGCTTCTGCGTCTCCAGGCGCTGCAGCTTCGTCTTCAGCTGAGGATCCAAGTTCCTGGGAGCTTTTGGGGTAGGGTTTAGGGTTTAGGGTTTAGGGTTTAGGGTTTAGGGTTTATAGGGTTTATAGGGTTTATAGGGTTTATAGGGTTTATAGGGTTTATAGGGTTTATAGGGTTTATAGGGTTTAGGGTTTAGGGTCTAGGGTCTGGGGTCTAGGGTTTAGGGCTTTCGGATTCCAGGTTTTATAAGCTTTAAGGGTGTAATTCAGGGTTTTGCGGGTTTAGGGTGCTGGCATCAAGCCTTTAAATTGCAGAGAAGGTATGAGTCCCATAATACACCCACAACCCTGATGTCCCTAAACCCCAAACCCCAAACCCCAAACCCCAAACCCCAAACCCTAAACCCCAAACCCCAAACCCCAAACCCTAAACCCTCACGATCACGACCAGGGCGCTTGTCTTGGAGAAGTCGTGGGATGCTGTCGGCCTCTTGGACATAGGGCTGGGTTGCTTGGGTTGAGGGTTTAGGGTTTAGGGTTTGGGGTTTGGGGTTTGGGGTTTAGGGTTTGGGGTTTCGGGTTTAGGGTTTGGGGTTTAGGGTTCAGGGTTTGAGGTAAAAGTGCGAGATTTTGTTTTTTTCACAGTTGTTGGGTGAGGAATTTGGGATTAGGGTCCAGGAGTGAAGGTTTGTGAGGGTTCGTCAGGTTTGCTTCGGATTTGCAGTCTTGCGAGGACTTTTGTTCAAAGCCTACAAAGCAAAGCTGTAAGGCAGTTTTTTTGGGGGAACGGGGGTGGGAGGGCGCGTGGCAGAACGTGATGTTTCACACTTGCGACACAGCGGAATTGGAATATCAGCACGCCAAGAAGGCATAGCGCAACGCGATCGAACATGTTCAGTTGCAGTAGTAGCAAACACGTGGTGCTTAAGAGACAGAGAGAGAAAGAGATGTACATACACATATATAGACATATATTGGTTGCACACGTGTACTGTGCAAGAACCGTACAGTCTTTTTGCATGCAATACAGATGGTAGCACATGCTGTTTGCATGCAATGAGATAGTAGCACCGGCCTTCCACTACATAGCATTGCAACATCTATGGTACGAGACGATGTTGCGCAATACGGATATGTATATATATCTATATTCACATATATATATATATATACATTTGTATATACATGTGCTACACATGCTAAAAGACCAACATCACAAAGCCGTACCGGCCTTGTGGGTCTCAGTGCACTGGTCGAGCAGACGGTCGACCTCCTGCCGGATCTCGACGATGCGGGCCTGTGCCCAAACATGCTTAATCGAGAATGGGGGACCCCCAATATAGATCACCAAAAAGTAGGATTCCCTTATAATACGGACCCGATAAGGTACCCCTAATCTCGGAATCCCCCATATGGTAACATACTGCTCGGAACACAGGAACCACCTGCTGTGCGCGCACACATGACAGCGCCTCGCGCAGCGTGTGCCAGAACTCGTCGGACATGAGGTTCTCGTCGACGCCCAGGTCGCCCAAGAAGGCCTCGGGGCGCAAGTAGGCGTCGATCCTCGGTGGAAACACGACACTATATTTTACCACACGAACCACTCAAAAAACTCTTAAAAAGCATAAGCAAACCATGAGCAGGCGTGAGTAAGGGTCGGCCCTGGCAGCCACGAACAGGTGGTTTCCATTTGAGCCACACAGATTTGCCCAAGTGACCTCATACGACCAACCTGACGACTGACCTTGCCAGCCTCGTTTGCTGCATTTCGGGTCCAAGCGTCTTGACGCCCTTGTGGATGTCATTGAAGAACTTCGAGGCGTCCTTCCCCGCCCAGGCGAGGATGGTCGTGGGGCCGCCGGGGTGCCGGTCCATGAACTCCGACAGGTCGTAGACCTGAATCGTTGACATGCCGCGTGGAGATTGTGGAGTTCAAGAATGCCCTACACCCTACAAACACCCCCAATAATAACCCTATGAATAACCCTATTTTATCCCTGTAAACCCTAAACCCTAAACCCCAAACCCTAAGCCGCTGCAGCACCTTGCCATTGAGCGCCACCCAGCAGTTCTCGGGTGTGCAGTGGCGGTTCACCTGGCTGATGCAGGAGGGCTAGGGTTTTAGGGTTGAGGGTTTAGGGTTCTAAGTTTTATTGGGTTTAGGGTAAACTTGCCCGCACCTTAGAGACCGAATGAACCCCAAAATTGCGGAGAACCCTATGCTTATTTCTATTCCAAAGTTTAAGGCATATATGGAGCTGAGAGAGCACATGAACCCTAAAATTGGGATCCCATACGCCTTGCTACGAGAATCCATGTTGGGTTCCAGCAAGCCGACGAGAATTTTTGCGGTTCAATATGGGTACTTGGAGGTTCAGGGTACTTATCACACAATTGTAAGTGCAGCCTTAAGTACCCCAATAGGGGTATGATTGGGTTATAAGTACGGTTACAATTGGGTTACTAAGTACCCTGAACTTGGAGGTTACACCCAAAGCCCTGAACCCTAAACCGCCAAGTCAAGCCCTCAACTAGAGCCTCACGGTTATGGGAACATGGCTCCGCCTGGACTGCACACAGTTCATTAGCCTGATGTTCAAGGCTTATCACTCTGATCATTTGTTCCAACATTGCTAGTCTGATTGTTATCATTTCTCATCATGCTGGGCACTGAACTCAGTAGTATAGCTGTTTTCTCATGGGTTATACCATCATTCTTATCATCATTCCTAACATGATCACGTATCGTTAGGCTGTTCTATTTGGGGCCTTAGGGCAGGCGAAGTTCAGAAACGC